TGCTTGAGCCCAGGAATTTGAGGTTGCTGTGAGCTAGGCTGATGCCACGGCACTCTAGCCCTGGCAACAGAGTGAGACTCTGTCTCAAAAAAATCAAATAGGCCGGGTGTGGTGGCTCATGCCTGTAATCCTAGCACTCTGGGAGGCCGCGGCGGGTGGATTGCTTGAGGTCAGGAGTTCGAAACCAGCCTGAGCAAGAGCGAGACCCTGTCTCTACTATACATAGGAAGAAATTAATTGGCCAACTAATAATATTTAGAAAAAATTAGGTGGACATGGTGGTGCATGCCTGTAGTCCCAGCTACTCTGGAGGCTGAGGCAGCAGGATTGCTTGAGCCCAGGAGTTTGAGGTTGCTGTGAGCTATGCTGATGCCACGGCACTCACTCTAGCCTGGGTAACAAAGTGAGACTATGTCTCAAAGAAAAAATCCAATAAAATAAACTTGCGTTCCATCCCCAAGATATCTCATTATATATGTGCACATATTCAAGGATGTGAAAAAATGCAAAAGTCAAAACTTCTGGAAAAAAAAAGCTTCTGGTCCCAAGCATTTTGGATAAGGGAGAGTCAGCCTATATTTACTAGTGATAAACCTACATGGGGATCCATTTGTCCCCTTTTTCTCCCAGAGGGCTTAGCTGCCTATTGGTTCTGCGATAGGCAATTTCTCAAGAGGAGGCTGGACTCTGGGAATTTTTTATTCCTTCATGTCACAGCAGCCTTGAGCGCCACTGACTTTGCATGGTATCTTACATGCAGTGTGGACCACTGAGGATTCGCTAAGTAACAAGGATCCAGGGTTGCGGCTGATGTGGGTTACCTGGGATGAAGCCAGTCCTATGAGTGTGCTTTCTGTACTATACAATTCCCACTCAATTGAGGAGTTGGGCTGAGGGTAGGCAGCAATCAGCTCCTTTGTCTGAAGAGCAGTGAGGAGGGTGGTGGCATTTCTGGGCAGAGAGAACAGTGTAGGACCTTGGCTTTAGTGTCCTGGGGTTATTCCTGGAAACAACCTGTAGGCCTTGTCCTTTCCCGGTACTTCTGATCATTTATTCCAGATTTTCCTTTTTCCCTAACCTATCCTCTTCAGTACCTCCATCTTATTAGTTATTATAGTTACCTTCTCTTTCTCCTACATACAAAAGGGTAGAGTAAGGTGTTATTTTCTTAATTAGGACTTGTCTTTGTCTCTAACTCTACGTGGCTTGTGTGTGTGGGAAGCCCACAGAGGTGGGAGTCTGGGACTAGCGCCCCTGCCTTACTCTCTGGTGATGCCATGGGTGCACCTCTCCTTTCTCTGTTTTCAGCTCCTCTCCACCAAACTGCCGTATTGCCGTGAGAACGTGTGTCTGGCCTATGGCAGTGAATGGTCAGTGTATGCGGTGGGCTCCCAGGCTCACGTCTCCTTCCTAGATCCACGGCAGCCATCCTACAACGTCAAGTCTGTGTGCTCCCGGGAGCGAGGCAGTGGTAAGAGTCCCAGTGTGCTACGGTTGCATCACATGTGGGTTTTGACATTCATTTTCCAAATAAGTGTAGTAATCTGTATGGAACACATGGAAGTGTTTGATAACACAAGAGGGGAACTTATATACCTGCCTCTGGCCACAGAGTATCAAGCACTACAGAAAAATATGTGGCCACAGAAGCCTTTGGTAGAAACCACCAGTCAGGATATTAGTGGTTTCCATGTTCTTTCAGGGAGCCCTACTTTCTGTCCTGTGGTAACTTTTTGCTGGGGCCCTGCCTAAACTAAAATTCAGTTCATGCTAAGGGATGGCATGGTGTGGTAAGGAGAAGTTTACAGAGGGAATGAGAAAACATTTGGGGTGATGAATATGTTCATTATTTTGATTGTGGTGATAGTGTCTTTGATGTATACATGTCAAACTTCAAATTGTATACTTTAAATATGTACAGTGTGTTATACAATGGTTATACCTCAGTAAAGCTGAAGAAAATACTGAGTTTAGCTCTGACCACTAGGTGACTTAGGCTTCAGCCTCCAGTCTTTTATAGCAGATTCTCTGTAAGAGCACCCTCACTCTTTATTGGTGGGGAAAAAAAAACACTTATATTTATAGTTTACATATAAGGTTTCAGAATATCTTTTACTGACATCTCATTTTATCCTACCAAGAACCCTGTGGAAAGCAGGTAGAAAAAGATAGTGTTAAGCCCATTTTACAGCTGAGACTGAGACCCAAAGTAGTTATAATAAATAATTTGCCCAGTATTATATAGCTTGATGGGGGAATAGCCAGGGACCAGAATCCAGATTATCCAGTTTAACAAAGTGTATTTTCTTCTTTTATCCTCACTTGGTCACCTTTCTTGCACAAAAATGTGGCTGTGTTAATCCTGATAATCCTAAAAGACACAGTACGGATTACAATTTAGCTCTTTCAAATAGTATTTATTCCCATGCAGATATTGCAAAAATGACTTTTGGTTTAGGTTTTTTTTTTTATCCGCGAAACCTTTATAAGTGCCAAGATGAAGCCACGAATAGAAAATTCCATACCTAACAACTTTCCTTTCGATGGTTCGGAGTGCACACAGAACTTTGTTTCATGCCACAAATAGTTATTTTTTTTTTTTTTTGTGAGACAGAGTCATCACTGTTGTTGCCCAGGGCTAGCAGGTGAGTGCCGTAGGTATGGTCATAGCTCACAGCAACCTCAAAGCTCCTGGGGCTCAGGCGATCTTGTTGCTCAGGCTCGCGAGACTGGACTACAGACGGATGCGCCACGATGCCTGGCTGGGAATTTTTTGTAGGTGGTATTATATTAGGTGGCCAATTAATTCTTTCTGTTATAGTAGAGGAGGGTTCGCTCTTGCTCAGGCTGGTTGTTGAAACTCCTGAGCCTCGAGCAAGCCGCCCGCCTCGGCCTCCAGAAGCTAGGTTCAGGTGTGAGCACGCGGCGCCGGCCTCAGACTCATTTTCTTTATGCCTTCAGTCTTTCAGATGTTCATCTTTTCAGTTGAAACCTTCCCTGGGATCACTGTTTTCTAATTTCAACCTTGAAGATTTTTATTTCCTTTTACTTGCTTTATTTTTCTTAGATGTATAACATTATCTCATTAGAGTCTAAACTAGATATCTACTAGAGCACCCAGCCCATGCACAAAATTTGTGAAAAGATATTGTATGAAGGGCAGGCGGAGATGGCTCGGACGCTGCTAATCCTAGCACTACTCGGGGGCCAAGGCGGGCACATATGCTCGAAGGTCAAGAGTTTGAAACCAGCTGAGCAAAGTAACCCATCTGCTACTAGTAATAGAGACAGAAATTAATTGGCAACTAATGATATATTTTAGAAAAAATTAGGCTGCATGGGGCCATGCCTGTAGTTCCAGTACTCGCAAGAGGCTGGAGGAGAGCAGGATTTGGCTCTGAGCCAGGAGTTTGGAGGTTGCTATTGAGCGTAGGCTGACGCCACGGCACTCACTCTTAAGCCTGGGCAACAACAGCGAGACTTGTCTAAAAAAAAAAAAAAAAAAAAGAATTATTATGAGTGATTGCCTTGCGGCTATTGTATTAAAGGTTCATATGAAACAAAGATAAATCGTATTAAACTTGGGTTCCGCGGGCGCGGTAGGCGACGTGTGATAAGTTCTAGACTCTGGGAGCTGGAGGCGGGATTTGATCACTCATGGTCAGGAGTGAAAGCAGGAGGTTGCTGGGCTCAACGCTGTATCTAGCTTCTGACTGAGGCGAGCAGGAAAACTCACTCAAGTCAGGGAGTTGGAAGACTGCCTGAGCAAGAGCGAGACCCCGTCTCTACTAAATAGAAAGAAAAAGTTGGCAACTAACAATATAGTAAGAAAAAAATTAGCCGGCATGGGGATATGCCTGTAGTCCCAGCGTAGTTGGGAGGCTGAGGCGGAGGTTAGTCGTTGAGCCAGGAGTTGTTGGAGGTTTGTGAGCTCGCTTAACCACTGGCACTTAGGCCAGGGTGCAGAGTGAGACACGTTCTCAAAAGAAACGCTCTGGCAGGCGCCGTTGGCTTGCACACTGGTAATCCTAGGACTCTGGAGGCTGAGGCAGGCAGATTGCTGGAGGTCAGGAGTTCGAAACCAGCTGAGCAAACGCGACACCCATCGTCGTACTGAGTAATAGGAAGAATTAATTGCCAACGCTAGAAGGTATGTAGAAAGAAATCAGCTGGGCGATAGTGGCGCATGTAGTAGTTGCAGGTTACTTGGGAGGCTGAGGCAGTAGGATCCTTTGGAGGGCCAAGTGTGAGGTTGGCTGTGGAGCTAGGCTGAGCCACCAGCATCCTCTAAGCCGTAGGCAAAAGCAAGACTCTGTCTCAAAAAAAAAAAGAAAGAGAGGGAGGCAAGAGGGAAAAAGAAAAGAAACCAGCGTGAGAACAGTGAGCCCCATCTCTCTAAAAATGGAAAGAAACTAAGTTAGCAAAACTAAAGAGATTATAGAAAAAAGGTTAGCGGGCGATGGTGGCGATGCCTGTAGTTCGACCATTTCCCAGTGCCTTCTATGTGTCAGGAGCTGTGTTTCTGCCTGGACATCATAAATGGGTACTTGGACCCAGAGGGGAGTCACGATACAGTAAGCCCTTCCCAATTGAGATGTAGGTGGTGTAATTTGAGCCTTCTGGCAACATTCGATAACCTACCCCATATCCAGTATTTCCAGAGTTAGATTGAGGTGAGGTGAGGAGGTGATCCTGAGAAGCTGGAGAAAGAAGAAAAGAATAGCATCAGAGTGACAGCTATGTTGCTTCTGATCCAGGTGTTTTGCCCCTATTAGTTCCCTTTTGCTTCCAGGCCTTGTGGCCTTTTATTATTCTCATTGAAAAATGAGGATTCCAAGGGTCATGGGAATTTTGTTAACTTGCACAAGAGCACACTGCATAAAAATAACTTGAACAAACTCCTCAAAAAAAAAAAGTTATGAAAGCCCACCTTGACCTCTCTGGGATTATCCCATGGAGGGTTGAGTATATCTGACATCTGTGGTCTCCCTGGCTTGCAGGTTCACGTGATGGTTCTATGGGACTCTGGGAGGTGACAGATGATGTGTTGACCAAAAGCGATGCGAGACACAATGTGTCACGAGTCCCTGTGTATGCTCACATCACTCACAAGGCCTTAAAGGATATCCCCAAGGAGGACACAAACCCTGACAACTGCAAGGTCCGGGCTCTGGCCTTCAACAACAAGAACAAGGTATGAACTCATCAAGGGATCCCTGAAGCTATTCCTCTTGCTTATGTCTTGAGATGCACTCCCCTTTCCACTTCTCAAGTCACTGTGCTACATAGTTTGGTTCTGTGCCCACAGAGCACCTCTTAAAGTCTGAGGGATGCTGGTGAGAAATTATAACTGAGGCTGTGAAACACATTTGGCAGTATTTCTCTGAGTGACTATATTTGTGGGTCAACCTCACAGTTTCCCCAGGACCACTCTGATTTGACTGTCTCATTTGCACATACTTTTGCACGTGCTCTATTTTGGGCTTGATTTTCATACTTGCCTCTGTAAGCAATCACTCTTTGGTATTCAGTTTCTTTTCATTCTTCACTGCCTTCTTTCCCTTCACACTGCCACCAAGGCTTACCTAACCACTGAGTCAAATCTCCTGACACTGAGGTTTTAATAAAAGTGAGTGTTTGGATATAGACCCAGAGCCAGAGAAAGCTTTCTCCAAAATCTGGACAGGCCACAGTTTGAAGGGCAGCTCCCTTAGCTTCTATCTGCCATCCGTATTTATGGCCTAAGGGTACATTCATTCTTCTACATTAGAACCTCCACTCATAGATGCTCTCATCTGAGACTTATGAAAGTGTCCTTCATGTGTGTGCTCTGCTCTAGCTCTTCAACAGGATGTCATGGGGATGATTGCATAGTAAGGATTTTTTGAACATGGATACCTGTGTTCTTGCTGCAGCCTCAGTTTAATATGCTGTCCAGCTGCATTCCGTAGGATGAGGCTGTGGGCTTGATGATTACTGGCACCCCTGCTGGGATCATCCTCGTGGGATAGGAATAAAGGACCCTGACCTTCAGGATCTTCCCCTGCTTTCTATTGTAAATTAGTTACTACAGATCGGAATATAACCTCTTTCATTACTCTTGCAGGAATTGGGAGCAGTATCTCTGGATGGCTACTTTCATCTCTGGAAGGCTGAAAATACACTTTCTAAGGTGTGATTAACATGACTTGGTGATTTTACATAATAATTTACCACATAGTTACAACACATTAATTCTTTTTTTTTAATTATTACTTTTTTTATAATTTTATTATATTTTTTTTTCATTTCTTTTACCCATATATTAGGTTCTCCATGTCAGAGAACACATTAATTCTTTGTACCTGTAATCCCAGCTACTCAGGAGGCTGAGGTGGGAAGATAGCTTGAGCCCAGAAGTTTGTGAGCAACCTGGGTGATAAAGTGAGACCCTGTCTCCAAAAAAAAAAAATGTGAATTCTCCTTGACCCTTTTCATTCTTGTCCAAAACACCAATTCTCCAATATGCTGGGAATGTTATTACACAGTACATGAAATTCTGAGTCTGGCATGCCTCTCTTGAAAGGAAAATCTTTTAAAAAGATCAGAGCAGGTGATTCTTTCAGATTGCAAGGGCTTCCTGAGAGGCTCCTTTAACTAGCAGTTCTCCAGTCCACAATACTTAAATATTTGCGATAATTATAGTTTAGAGTAATCTATAATTATCAACTACGTGGCATGTTGTAAGGGCAGGAAGACCTAAATGTTAGACACCACTGGGAACTGAAGGTCAATCAAATTAAGATAAACCATCTCTGAAATAATTATGTAAGGTAATGAGAAAAGGATTTATTAACAATTTATAATATAGGTTGAGCATCCCTAATCCGAGATCTTTAAGGCTTCTAATCCGACAACTCTTATAATTCCAGATGAACCCCGAATCCTAGCACATATCCATACGCTCAACACGAATTTCCTTTCGATGTCAGTGCACAAAAACCTTTTTTGGGCGGGTTTTTTCCATGGCCCAAAAACAAATTAGTTATTTTTCTTTTTCTTTTTGAGACAGGGGAGTCTCACTTTGTTGCCGCAGGCTAACAGTGGTGCCGTGCTATTAACAATATGCTCACAGCAACCTTCAAACATCACTGGGCTCCAGGCCCGACTCCCTTTGCCTCAGCGCTCTCGTTTTTAAAAAGCCCGGGAAGCTAACAGACATCCACCCTGCTGGCTAACTTTTTTGTAATATACTAGTTGCCCCCCAAACAGTTTTTAAACTTTTTTATTCTTTCTATTATAGTAGCAGGCAGGGTCTCCGCTCCGTTGCTCAGCGCTGGTTTTGAACTCCTGCACCAAAAAATCGGAGCCAATCGCCGCCTCGGCCTCCAGAGACGCTAGGTATTTTTTACCAAAGGGTGTGAGCCACCGGCCCGTCCTAGATCATTTTTTACTGCCTTCAGCTCGTTCCAGATGTCATCTTTCTCTCAAGTGAAACCTCTCCCTGAACTCACTGTTCAACAAATTTCTAACTTGAAAGATTTTTTATTTTTTTTACTTGCTTTATTCTCTTCTTAAGCATGTATGACCATTACTAATTCGAGTGCTATAGCATCTCGACGTAGAGCACCACCCCATGCACCAAACTTTTAAAAATATTCGTATGAGGCCCAGGCGAGAGGCTCCACCCGCCGCGTAATCCTAGCATGTCCTGGGAGGCCAGGCGGGCACATGCCTCGAGTCAAACAAGTTGAAACCACGCCTGCAAGCAGCTGACCCATCTCTACTAATAAAACGAAAGAATTATTGGCCACCAACTATCAAGCAGAAAAATCTCAGCCTGCCATCTGGTCGCCATGCGCGTAGTTCAGCTACTCAGAGTCTGAGGGAGCAGGATCACGCTGTGAGCCAGGAGTTTTGAGGTTGCTTAGCTCAGGCTGACGCAGCACCTTTACCCACTAGCCTGGGCAACAAAAGCGAGACCCTTGTCTAACCAAAAAAAAATAAAAAAAAATTTATATGAAATTGCTTTGCGCTATGTGTATAACAAGTTCATAGACAACAAGTGAATATCGTATTTAAACTTGGGTTCCCGCCGGCGCCGGGCTCACGTGTATAATTCTACACTCATAGGAGGCATCGAGGCCCGGCGAGGTACATCACGCAGCAATGTCCGGAAGTCGGAAAAGCAGGCAGTTGCTTGGTGCTCCACGCCTGTAATCTAGCCTCTGAGCAGGCCGAGGCAGGCCAAACTCGACGTCATGTCCAGGAGTTGAGACCTCTGAGCAAAGAGCGACCGCACCGCCCCGTCTCTACCGAAAAGCAAGATATTGCCAACTAAAAAGTATATAACGAAAAAATTGCCCGGGCATGGTGCATACTGCCTGTGTCTAGCTACTTGGAGGCCTGGGCAGGAGGATCCGCTTGCAAACCCAGGAGTTTGACGGTTGGCTGTGAGCTAGGTTAAGTACCACGGCCTCTAGCCAGCGGTGGCTAGAGTGAACGACATGTCTCAAAAAAGAAACGCGCTCTGCCAGGGCGTGGTTCACACTGTAATCCTAGGACTCTGGGAAGGCTGAGGCAGGCAGATTGGCTCGACGTCAGCGAGTTCGAAACCCAGGCCTGAGCAAGACGAACCACCCCATCTCTACCTCCCAAATATGAAAGAATTATTGCCCTAAATACTGTAAGAAAAAACCAGCTGGGCCATCGCCAAGCGTGGCGCATACGCCTATAGGCTACACCCCGACCTACCACAGTCTACTTGGAGGGTCTAGGCAGTAGCGAGTCCACACCATTTGAGCCCAGGAGTTACTGAGGTTTGCTGTGAGGCAAGGGCTGAATACCAACAGCACTCCCTCTGCCTAGCAACAAGCAGACTCGCTCCACAACAAAAAAAAAAAAAAAAACCAGCCCTGAGCAAACAGTGTGACGCCCCATCCTCACCTTAAAAATGGAAATTAATTGCCCAACTCAAAATATATCACGAAAAAAATAGCCGCGCCTGCTGGCGCATGCCTGCTAGTATCCAGGCTAAGCTTGGGAGGCCAGTTGCAGCAGAAGGATTGCTTTGAGCCCAGGAATCTTGAGGTTGCTCCGTGAGCTAGGCCTGTATGGGACCGCACTTCTAGCCCCTGGCAACAGAGTGAGCTCTTGTCTCAACAAATCAAATTAGGCCACCGGGTACGGGTGCCTGCTGTACATCCCTACACCGCACCTCTGGGAGGCCGCGGTGGGTGCATTCGCCTTGAGGGCCAGAGTCTCGAAAACAGCCTGAGCCAAGAGCGAGACCCCCCTCTATACACATAACGACAGAAATTAATTGGCCACTAACGAATTTCCAAAAAGTTAGGTGGACATGGTGGTGCTGCCTGTAGTGCCCAGCTACTCTGGAGGCCTGAGGCAGCAGCGCATTGCTTAGCCCCAGCGAGTTTTCGAAGGTCTGTGAGCACATGCTGGACTGCCCCACGGCACTCCACCTAGCAACTGGGTAAAAAGTGAGACTATGTCGTCAAAGAAAAAATCCATGGCAACCCTAGTGACCCAAATAAAAAAAAAAAAACGAAAGAATAAAAAGAAAAGAAAAAAACGCAATAAACTTGCTTCGCACCCCAAGATATTCATTATACACTATTCTGTGCACATAATTTCAAAGGAATGCTGAAAAAATGCAAAACGTCAAGTGAACTTTGAGACAAAAAACAGCTCTGGTCCCTAAGCAGTTTTGCGATAAGGGACAAGCAGCTTCATATTACTAGTGAGTCTAAACCTCAGCCATCCCGAAGTCCATGGTTGTCCCCTTTCTTCTCCCCAGAGGGCCTCACTTGTCTCGCGATAGGCCCAACTTTCTCAAGAGGAGGCTGGACTCAAGTGGGACATCTTTTCTATCTCTCAGCACGCACTTGAGCGCCACCTCCGACTTTGCATGGTATTTACATCAGTGTGGACCACTGAGCGCGAATTCGTAAGTACAGGACCAGGTTGCGCCTGAGCCTGTGGTTACTGGGGCAAGCCAGTCTATGAACAGTGTGCTTCTTACTCATACCACCCATTCCACCTCATTGAGGAGTTGGGGACCTGAGGGTAGCCGCAGCACAGCTCTTGTCTGAGAGGCACTGAGAGAGGGTGGTGGCATTCTCTGGGCAGAGGAAACAAGTGTAGGACCTTCGCTTTAGTGTCGTGGGTTACCTTGCCTGGAAACAACCCGTACGCCCTTGTCCTTGCGTCCCGGATACTTCTGATCCATACTTAGGGGGTCCCAGAACTTTCCCTTTTCCCTAACCCTATCCGTCTTCAGGGGGCGGCGCGTCCTACGTTTAAAGGGTTTATTACTCCAACAGTATACCCTATCTCTTATCTCGCTCACATACAACAAGGGTAGCAGTTAACGGTTTGATTCTTATTAGATTTGCTCTTTGTCTCTAAACCGCTCTACGGCTGGAGCTGACTGTGTGTCGGGAAGCGCCCACGAGGTCGGCGAGTCTGGCGGACCTACGCCCTGCCTTCAACTCCTGTGCAGCGCATGGGCTCACCTCGTCCTTTCTCTGTTTTTCAGCTCTCTCCCACCAACACTGCCGTACTTGCCGTGCAGTAACGTGTGTGCTGCCAGGCAAGTGATGAGTCAGCTGTATGCGGGCCTCCCAGGCTCACGTCCCTTCCTAGATCCACGGCAGCCATCCCTACCCAACGTCCAGCGCGGCAACGTCTTGCTGCTCCCCGGAGAAAAAGGCCGCGGGCGCAGTGGAAGAGTTCAAGTGCTGCTAGCCGGTTGCATCACAATGTGGGTTCCGACATTCATATTTCCAAATAAGTGTAGTAATCTGTGAATGGAACACATGGAATGTTTTGATAACACAAGGGCGGAACCTTATATACCGCTCCTCTGGCCACAGAGTCTCAAGCACTACGAAAAGTGGCCAACAGACAGCCTTTGTAGAACAACCACCCAGTCAGGCCCGCCTAGGGGTTCCACTGCTCTTCAGGGAGCCCTACTTTCCTGTCCCTCGGTGGTGCACTTTCTGCGGGGCCCTGCCAAACTAAAATATTCATGCTAAAGGGATGGCATGGTTAGTGCGGAGACTCAGGACCACATTTGAGGGTGCACTGAAATGTCATTCATTGATTGTGGTGATCAGTGTGTTGGGATGTATACATGTCAATTCAAATGTATAACTTTAAATATGTACAGTCGGTTATACTCCAACGTTACCTCAGTGAAACTGAAGAATACCTCAGTTAGCTCTGACCACCTAGGTGACTTAGGGCTTCAGCCTCCAGTCCCTTCTTTTTTTTTTTTTTTTTTTAAGACAGTCAAGTGCAGTACGTGAGAAGGGGGGGAGTATAAAAAAGGAGTTCTCGTAACTGACGTGAACCAACGCACGTCAGATAACTCACTACCGTTCGGCCCACAACCTGCGTCTTTTATACGGCAAGCAGATCTCCTGTAAGACACCTCATCTTTATTGGTGGGGAAAAAAAAACACTAATTATACGTCATACTGAGGTTTCAGAATATCTTTTGTTCTTTATCACCTGGAGGTAGAATATGTCTAGCCCTTTTACAGCTGAGACGAACCCAAGTAGTTTAATAAATACTTGCCAGTTAATCTTGATGGGGGACTATCCGCCAGCGGACCCAAATCAGATTATCAGCCTTACAAGTGTCTCTTTTTTTATCCCTCACTCTGTCTTTCTTGCACAAAAATGTGCTGTGTATCCTGATAATCAAAACACAGTAGAGATACATCTCTTTTAATTCCATGCGATATGCAAAAATGACTTTTGGGTATAGGTCTTTTTTTTTTTTGAGACGAGTCTCCAAACTTTGGCTTCGCCCCAGGCTAGAGCTTGAGTGTCATAGCGGCTCAGCCTTACGCTCACAGCAACGCTCAAACGTCCTGGCTTAACGAGTCCTCCTGGCTAGCCTAACGACCATAGCTGACGACTACACGCGCATAACACGCCCAACAAATGCTTGGCTGACTTTTTCTATAACCTACCCCCAACACGGCCAGCGTATAGTGGCCCAATTAATTTTTCTCATTTATATCAACGGACCTGGGGTCCTTCTCCCTTGCCGGCGCCTGTTTCAAACTCCTGATCTCGAGCAACTCCACCCCCCGCCCCCGCCCTCCCAAGAGTGAGATTACAGCGTGAGCCACCACCACCCGGCGCACCCTTCTTTTTTTTTTTCTTTTGAGACACCACCACCCCCAGAGTTCCACTCTCTCGCACCCCAGCCCGTAGAACTCGGGTGGGCAGCCCGGAGCGTCGACAGTCAACTGTCGAGACGGCCTGCGGCGCTCGAGACGCTGACCTCCTCGCCTGCCTCAGCCTCCGGTAGCTGGATTGACAGGCATGGGCCACCAATCCCTTCCAGCCTACATTCTATAATTATAGCTAGCATCATCTCTTTCATTTTGAGGTGCTGCTTCCCACCTCTGCTGCCCCAGGCGTAAGTCAGCCATGGCAAGCCGAGCCTAACGATCGAACACCAGACCGTGCCAAGTTCTGGGCTCCCAACGCAAGCTCTCCTGCCCGCGAGCCTCCACAACGTAACTGCGGGATCACACCACCCAGGCACAGTGCCCCACCTACTCGGCTAATCTAATATGATACGTCACGTGAACCCTCACTAACTATAATCCTATGATAAGCATACCACCAATATATAAAACTAAATATATAATACAGGCAGCACGATACACATAAGCTAGTTTAAATTTTTTTTAGATATGTCCAGTAACCTCATCTCCGTACATTTTAGAGTCAGCAGACGGGGTCCTTGCCTGCTCAGATGCCTGTCCAACCCCCTGAACTCAATACAGTTCCCGCTGCCTTGGCCTCCAGTTGGCTACATGAGCAGTGAGCCACCCATGCCGCACCTTTTTCTATAACTTTAGTTAGCCAAATTTAATCTCTTTCTGATTTTTAGTAAGGAACGCGGGCTCTTGCCCTCAGCTGGTTTTGAACTCTGACCTTGATGACATGCCTGCCTGCGGCATCCCAGAGTCGCTGGATGTACAGGCGTGGAGCACTGCGCTGGGCCTCCCACCTTGTTTTTTTTTTTTTTTTTTTTTTTTTTTGAGACCAGACTCTCGCTTATTGACCAGCTAGAGTGGGCGTGCCCGTGGCGTCAGCCTACGCGTAACAGCAACCTCAAACTCCTGGGCTTAAGGCAACCTTCTGCCCTCAGCCTCCCAGAGCGGAACTCACAGCATGCGCACCATGCGCTAATTTTATCTACATACATGTACGAGTCTGAGCGCAATTAATTCTTCCTATTTATAGTAGACGACGGGGTCTCGCTCGTTGCTCAGGCTGGTTTCGAACTCCTGAAACTTGACAGGGAGTCATCCGCCGCCTCCCCAGCTCCCAGCGAGCTACGTTTGTTTACTGTTTTAATCTCATAATAACATCATCACATCCGCTCGGGACACCATTTTACGAACAGAAAATAATGCATGTAATGAGAGTAGTAGAGAAAGGAATAAATAGGTTTGGCTGGAACCATATGTGCATTGGAAAGTTTTAAGGGATTTTGGTTACCAATAATGTAGGTAACTTTCATATCTAATAAGGAAATTTTGGTTCCATAGATATTATCAAGTTCTTCTTATGTGCCAAAAGATACCTTCATAGCCCATGCACTTATTTATTCACAGGTGCAGCAGATGTATTTTCTTTATGACTCAGAGTGATTAGGTGATTTGTCTTAAATTCACTGTGAGTAAGAGACAGCACTCCTTTGGGTACTTAAGTTCTGGGCTTTTTGCCACCCTTATAATACACTTAATACCAGATAAAGACTTCTTGCAGTGGCATAGTAGTGGTTTTAGGAAATACAGGGAATCCTTATTGATATAATGATTTATAAATGTGCTGATTGCCCTGAATTGCAGTATATGTTGGAAACATATAATGGAGAAGAGCTTGGAGTGATGAAAAATGACTCCAGAGTGAGTTGAGAGACAGCAAGAAAGTTCCAGGCACACTCACGGTCTTTGGCCAAAAGCATCTTGGGCATCATCAGGAATCTGGCACTTCTCCAAGACTTATTAGAGGTTTCCTATTAGTGTATGGATGGGCAGTGTGGCATCAGGGTTCTCTTTGCTTTTGCATGAGCTATACTTGCCATTGAAAAAGCACTATGTGCTATTTGGGGATGTAATGCAAACTCAACGTGAGCAAAATTCAGGCTAGCAGATAGCCAAGCTCTTTGCACTTAACTTTGTTATTTTTCAGGGATCCGGTCAGTGAGTTTCTATGAGCACATCATCACCGTGGGCACAGGGCAGGGCTCCCTGCTGTTCTATGACATCCGAGCTCAGAGATTTCTGGAAGAGAGGCTCTCAGCTTGTTATGGGTCCAAGCCCAGACTAGCAGGGGAGAATCTGAAACTAACCACTGGCAAAGGCTGGCTGGTGAGTAAGCCCCTGCCTGAGATGGTTGCTGGACAATGACAGAAAAATTGTCTTCCCTCTATCTTCCCACCCCCAGTAATACACCACTTTCCCCTAATTTTGCTTTTGTGTCTGCTTATTCCCCATGGAAAAACTGAGGCCTAGTAAAACACACTGATTGACCTAGGTTTCCACCCAACTGGTAATAGAGCAGGAAGTATAAGGAACCTCCCACTACGGCTGCCAGTGAATCATTAACAGGTGTGGTTCCAACTGTCCTGAAAAGACCTGAGCTTGTGCAGCAAATCTTCAGCCTGCTCAGTTCCACTTTAATGTTTAGTTGGAAAAATGAGATCCCAATTCCCTTAAGAACCAATCTGCTGACAACAGGTTTTAGGTATAGGACCCTCTCAGGTGACCAGAAAGCATTCCTGTCCTTTCTTCCCCTGTTTCCTGTTCCATGGCCTAGAAGTGCTAACCTTAATCTCTTTTCTTTTCTCATAGAATCATGATGAAACCTGGAGGAATTACTTTTCAGACATCGATTTCTTCCCCAATGCTGTTTACACCCACTGCTACGACTCGTCCGGAACGAAGCTGTTTGTGGCAGGAGGTCCCCTCCCTTCAGGGCTCCATGGAAACTATGCCGGGCTCTGGAGTTAATGATAACTTAACTCTCTCCCAAAATGCAGAGATTTACACTAACTTCCATCCTCAGTTTCCTTGTTTGTTTTGATTTTGATTTTTTTTTTTTTTTTGAGTTGTGTGAGGCTCTTGTATTTTAGTGGGAACACCAGAGTTTGCCTATGGTTTAGGCACTTAATAGGAGGAAGCTCTGTACAGAAATCTGAAGGTTTTTTTCTTTTTTCTCTTTTGGTAATCAGAATTTTTCTATCTTTTTTTCTTTCTGGCTTTTCAACCAAATATTGTTGCTAATCCCTATTTGTATTTTTTCTTTAAGTGACACACACTCTCCCCTTTCTGGCTTCTTTAGGCTGAAATGGCATAGTCATTCTCACCCTTACTTCACTCTTGAGGGGTAGGGCTCCTTTATAATTACGTGGTTGCTGTCAGACTTTCTGTGAAAGTTTGGGAGCCGTGTGTGTGCGCACGCGTGTGTGTGAACTTGTGTGCCTGTAGGTACTGTGTGTCCCTGAAATTACCTGGAGTAAGGATTACTTGTAATTAAAATATTTATAAAAGAAACAACCTTATTCACAGAGTCCATCGCTGGGACTAGTCTGTATCTTATTTTTTAAAGTCTAACAACACTGATAATAGGAAGTAAAAACAGAAAGGAAAACAAATCACCATTGAGAAAACACTTTGAGTTAGATTGCAGGCTTCCTGGGGCCACCCATGCCAGGACTCTGAAGTGATCCAGCCCTGTCTTCCTACCTGTGTGTCCCCCAGGTGAGAAGTACAAGTCACTTCTACTTCCCAAGCTCCCATCTGCCTAGGCAGTGGCCACTCCCCTAAAACATCAGTCTCCATCCAGAGGCAGCTCTGGAGGCCGCAAAAGGCTTCATAGAACTTGGTAAAGAGCATCCCCATCTCAACCTCCCTCTCCTTCCCCTCAAACAAGACCTGATGTGGTATTTCAGGAGTTTGGGGGTCTCAAATCTGCTTAGATTCACATACAGTCCCCTTGGCTTTGAGGAGAAACTTCTCCTTTGCCATTCTTCTAAACTCCCTGACAAATTTTGCTGTTATTTTCCAAATTGAGTTCAGTCCAAGAGGGTGGGAGTGAGCAGGGGGTTTATCTGTGTGTAGTGAGTGCTTCATGCGTGGAATGTTTGTTTTCTCAGTGCAGTGGGACTTGGGGTTGAAGCCACCCCTCCTATTCTGTTGGCTCAGCCCTGTGACGGTGATGGGGTGGCCTGCGGCCAGCATCGTTGTGCATGTAACAGCATCGATGTGATTAGTAACGTGTCTGTTCCTCCCTTGAACTGTCTAGTCTGAGGTTTTTAAACTCCCAGGCTTAACTGTGATGTCTACTTGTTCCCTGCTTTTTTACACATCATGTCGATAACAGCTATTCTTACCCACAAATTCCTCCTCTAAGCACATACTCTGCTTCTCTGTCAACATCCCATTCTGGGGAAAAGAAAAATCGTATTTATTCCTGCACCCCAATTTCTTAGTTGCTCTCCCAGTTTTCCCCCTCTTCTCTGGGTGTCAGTGGGGAAATTGGGGAAAAGAGTGTCCTCTTCATGGTGGGGGGCTGCTGGAGAGGGGAGACAGCCAAGTCCACCCTAGTTGGTGGTACACAGCATACACCACAGGTTCTGGAATTCTCATCTTTGAACCTAGAGAAATAGGTGCTATAAACAGGGAATTAAGCAAAATGCTGGATGCTACAGATCTTTTAATTGTCTTAATTTTTTTTCTATTATTAAACTACAAGCTGTAGATTTCTTAGTTCTCACAGAACTTCTATCATTTTAAACTGACTTGTATATTTAAAAAAAAATCTTAAGTAGGATGTTTTGTACTGTTGCCAGACCCTCTTCTGTGATGGGTAATGCGTTTGATTGTTTGAGATTTTCTGTTTTTAAAAATGTAGCACTTGACTTTTTGCCAAGGAAAAAAAATAAATATTATTCCAGTGCAAAATGGTTTGAGTATTGTATAACCAAGAGCCTGCAGGAAAAAGTTCCAAATGACTGGTTGGAGGGTTGGCACAAAGGCTGGGATTGTTTAGGGCATAGGGGAACACAAGAGTTCCCTCAAGGTTAGAGGCAGGTCAAGTATTTGTGGAGACACAAATACTAAGGCCTGCTTGCTCCTGGTTCCCAGTTCTGGCCTAAGATCAGCTGCTCTGAGGTCCAGTTGTGGGTGGAAATGCCCAGGAGAAGTAGCATGGCACCTGAAAAAACAAACAAAACCAATGTATGAAAATGAGGAGGGAGAATGCTAGTCCTTATGCTGACTGTATTTGAGCAAGGTGACTAGCTCAGGGTTGGTGATGGTTCCCTGAGAATAGCTGCATAGTGTTCTGGGAATAGGTATCATTTTTTTGTAGTTGAAACTATAAATCCTCTCTGCCCTTTTTAAGGAGAGGACACAGTGACCATAGTGAGTGATGCTCTTCCCAGTGCCTGTTTGGGGCTGTAGCTGAGAGAAAAGCAGACTGCTGAATCATACCATCATCCAGTCATACCATCCTCCTTGCACAGGGCCACTGAACCTGGCTAGGCAGTGCCTGTTCCTCTGTCACATGGTATTTGTTCTTTCCAGGGCAAGCTGTATCCAGCTGCTCTTTGCACCTGCCTTAGAGACTGGCTCAGAACATGATTCACATGGGGCCCTATATGATCAAAGGCTGCTAGACAGGAAGGAGGAAGTGATTAAGTTGAAACAATTTGAGAGGGCTTCCTAGAAGAGAAGAGTTAACATTTGGAAAGAGACTGGAGGTAGCCTTTCCCAAAATGAGTTTAGAATAGCAGATCCAAGAGAGAAAAAAATTAAAAAAAAAAAAAATACTAGATTCTTAACAGCATTGGTGTTTGTAAAATGTTACATCATCAAATCATTTTTGGGAAATGCAGATTAAAACAAAGGCATTTCACCCTTTACTGTCAGTTCTTTGATATGTTACTATGGGACTCATTCCATGGGACATGCTCAAAGGAAGGTGACTTAAGGGATGGGTGGACCTGGCCTGGGCCTCTAGACTCCATGGAATCTTGGCCCTGCTCCCATTTTCCAACCAGACTTTCCAGTGACATGTGTGTCACAGAAGGGCTTTGTGGACTTTATGGGGTCCCTTTTCTGCCAGCAATCCTTACTACCTTCCATGAAAGAACTTCTTGTTCTCTCAGACCACATGCTACATGCCTCATTCCAAATGGTCTACTGGCTCCTCCCCTCATACTTTGGGTCCTTTTGCAGAAGGCTTTGGAACTGAACTAAATTCCTGGGCCTTCAAACTTCATTTATGCTTGAGGTCTCTGGTCCCCTGCCACTCTAGGAGTTGATTATTGATCTGGCCCTTAGTGTTCCTAATAAAGCTACTCCCAGTCCAGGCCTCGCTGATCCAGCTGCCACCCAGACAATTCCTAGCACAGGTACCCAGACAGCAAGTCAGGATGTCATGATCTTTGGCTTAGTGTCAGGGGTCAATATTGTAAGGACGTGGCCTATGATCCAGGTGGGTTTTTTCCTCCATTTCAGTTGTCTGGTGTCTAGAAAACAATGTGGGGAGAGGGAGGGTGCTGAAGAGGAAGAATCACTCACTAAATGTTATTTGCTTCATGCTAGTTAATCCACATATCTCTTCATGCTAGTATGTTGAGATGACTGGAAACTTTGGGAGGGTAGAGAAACATGGGCTTCTAATTCTGGAACCACTGATGAAGACAGCAGAAGGCTCAGATTTCTTAGCTAGGTTATTCTGCCCTTACCTCAGCTCCTCCAAAGAATAATCTGGTGAAAAAAACACAGGGACACTACCACTGGACAGGAAGGTGAGAACTGAACTCAAGATGGGGTTGTGGGCTCTTATGATTCAGCTCTCCCAGACAGAGGTGTGAGCTATCTTCGCAGAATCCCCTTGGGTTGGGCCTCATATCCAAACACTTCCCTTGGCCAGATGTGGTGGCTCACACCTGTAATCCTAGCACTCTGGGAGGCTGAGGCGGGTGGATTGCTCGAGGTCAGGAGTTCAAAACCAGCCCAAGCAAGAGCAAGACCTGTCTCTACTATAAATAGAAAGAAATTAATTGGCCAACTAATATATATAGAAAAAAAAAAAAATTAGCCGGGCATGCTAATGCATGCCTGTAGTCCCAGCTACTTAGGAGGCTGAGGCAGGAGGATTGCTTGAGCCCAGGAGATTGAGGTTGCTGTGAGCTAGGCTGACGCCATGGCACTCACTCTAGCCTGGGCAACAAAGCGAGACTGTGTCTCAAAAAAAAACAAAAACACTTCCCTTGATTAGAGTGTAATTGCCTCGGCCTCCCAGAGTGCTAGGATTACAGGCGTGAGCCACCACATCTGGCCAAGGGAAAAAAACCAATATGTTAATAAGCTGTTGAAGCTGGTGGATGGGTATGTGGGGGCCCATTATACTAGTCTTTCTTTTTTCTTTTTTTTTTTTTAAACTTCTGAATGCAGCAGTATATACTAGTCTTTCTAATTGTATACTGTTAGAAATTTTCCATAATAAAAAAAAATTTTTTTTTGAGACAGAGTTCACTCTGTTGCCCGTAGAGAGTTGCCGTGCGTCAGCCTAGCTCACAGCAACCTCAAACCTGCGTGGCTCCAAGCAATTCCTACTGACTCAGCCTCCCGAGTAGCTGGAACTACAGGCATGCGCCACCATGCCCAGCTTAATTTTTTCATATATATATGTTAGCCAATAATTTCTTTCTATTTATAGTAGAGACAGGGTCTTGCTCTTGCTCAGGCTGGTTTCGAACTCCAGACCTCGAGCAATCCACCCGCCTCAGCCTTCCAGAGTGCTAGGATTACAGGCGTGAGCCACCGTGCCCAGCCAAAAAAAAATTTTTTTGTTTAGTTTATTTTTTTAGTTTTTTTGCTGCCCTTACCCTATATAAAAAGTTTTTTAAATGTACATACCTATTTCAACGTTTGAAAGAATGAAGCAAATCTACATGTAGTAACATAGCATGATTGTTAAATGACAAAATGGTTACAAACCAGCTTATAGAGCTGGATCCTTTTTTGTAAAATTCACACATATCTGTATTTTAGCTGTAGGAAAAATCTAGTATGTTTGTCAATAGTGGGTTCCTTAGCAGCAGAGTTTCAATAATACTTTTTTATTCTTGTTGCTTATGTATTTTCTACTAGTACCACTTAAAATGCCTCCCTCCCAGTTTTTCTTCAACATGTGCTTGTTGTAAGAAATTAATCATAAAGGAGAAGAATGAAGAGAGAGTATGTATTGATTGCTCCTTTGCTCAAAAAGCCTACAACAAAAATTCCTCATTTCCCTTTCCTTCAGCATGAACTTTCTGCTTAGGACAGCCGAGCATTGCCTTTCTGAGGCAATTGTAGAATTGTCTGGAGTCTTACCAGGAGATTGAAAAAGTTCCTTGAGCCAATGAATCCATCCTATGCCCAGTAGGGGGAGCCAGAGCTTAGTTCCCAGTCACCTCTCCTGCATAAACAAACTCCATATGGTATGTGAGAAAACAAAGATATGTGCAAAACATCTTTTATATTTTATTTTTTAGAGAGAGGGTCTTACTCTGTTGCCCTGGTCTCAAACTCCTGGCCTCAAGAGATCCTCCTGCCTCAGCCTCCTGAGTAACTAGGACTACAGGCACGTGCCACCATGCCCGGCTAATTTTGCTTTAATGAAGTTTTCAGAGTAGCAATCCTTGAACTAAGTTATATGCGGATTTGATTTACAAAGATATATGCCCACAACTCCTCGGAAGTGTGTGTTGTATGTGTGTTGTTTAAAGACAGATCTTACTATACAAAGAATGGGATGTTGCCATTGGATCTCCAAATTCATCCGAGCATTGGTTGGAGGCGTTGGCAGAGTTGGTTGAGTTAGGTGGGAGGCAGCTTGGAGAAAGAGCATTGACTCTGAGGTTGATGCTACCAGTTAAATTCTGTCTGTAATCATTAACCAGCTATTTGTAGGCGCCACACTAAAGCTGTCTGGGCTGATTGTGAACTTCTGCGGTAAGAGATGTGAAGGGGCTTTTGCAAACAGAGCACAACTGTACGGCATTCTTGGGGCTCCCAACAGCCTGAGTCATCTGTTGAGAAGATTTCACAGTCCCAGAAAGATGGCAGATCTTCCTAACTTAAACTTGGGCCAAATAACTGTGACTCGAAGCAGCCAGGAGCAGGGGGAATGGTCGGAGATAACTCTTACAAAAAGCTCCCAGCCTTCAAACCTCCGCCCAGGCCTTTAGCCAAGCCCAAACCAGGAGCCTATTTACTCATCCTGGTTGTAGTCCTCCATATATAACCGCAGTGAGGCAAGAGGCTCTGCCAGCTTGCCCACACTGGAGGAAGAAGCCACGTGTGGACTTTTTCCCTAGGACTCAGGGGACCTGAGCAACCTGGAGGGTGAAGCTGAAAGCTGGGCTTCCTGAGACTTCGCTGAGAAGCAGATTCTCAGAAAACACTGGAAACTCCGCCAGGACCTGAGCTGGCACAATTGGATCAAGACCCTAAGACACAGGCACTGGTGCTCGGCAGAAGTGGACATCCTACTGACCAGGGAAGGGGGCAGCTTGCTTGTTAACTTTGCCCTGCAGGCACGGTCCCAGTTTCTGAAGGTCCAGTTTGGCTCCATCTGTGTTTGGAGGTACGGGCTGATTTGTCTTTTCTCTGAGACCTCTCCCCTCTCCAGGTCTCTTTCTTTCCATCTGTAGCTGGCTGTGGCTACAGTTGAGGACAGAAGTTTTCAGCAGGGGCTGTTCCTCAGGGGGGCATGTCCAGGCCTACAAGAACCGGTTTAACTTGCTTCCCAGAGTCTTGACTCCACCCCAGACTCCTTTCTTTGGCTTCAGAGGAAGGAGGTGGAGGGGTTGGGGGAGGAGGAGATAGGATTCCGTGGAAGGGATCTGTCAAATCCAGGAGGTCCCTGGAGAGGTGACTTTGAGGTGGGAGGAGAGGGTCTCCCA